ACTGGTCCTGTGATAAGTTGAGTCGAGTCTTCAGGAGCGCCAAACTCTCGTCACTGAATCTGTCGAACAATCCGCTGATCACTCATCGCGGTATTGAAAGCCTCCATTGGATCCGTTCGCTCAAGACTTTGACCATCACTGGGACGAAAGCCGCGAAATATCCATTTCTGGAGCTCTTAGTCGCAAATTTCAATGATTTAGTGCCTGAATGTCGAGTCATTGCTGATTAACTGATGTTTTAAATGTTGTAAATTAAATCTCAATAAAAACCTATTTGTAGTTAAAAATGCATTTCCCGTAGCAATAAAGATATGATTACCTGTAAAACACATTTGCAGCCAATTGTGTGTCAAGCAAATCAATTACAATGTTTGAAAGCTATTTATTGAATTCATTTGAATGTGAAAAACATTAAATCCAATGAATGTCTCCCAAAATAAGCTACAAAAACCTAAATTTAAACTAAAAGACTAATTGCGGGGAAGGGATGTATAGATCCTGATGCCGTGCATGTCTTTAATCTCATTCTTAAGGGCCTAATCAGTGACCAAAAAGAGATTAAAGATTAAAATGAATGCAAACTATATGTGAGAAACAGTGAATACATGATTGACTTTGAGGTGCTGTCTCACTGTATTAAGTCCCGTGAACTCTGATGTCTGGATGTGTATCTCAAACATAGCGCCACAACCGCCGGATATATCGTTCACCACAATTTCGGTGGCCTTCGGGAACTCCTGTCGAAGAATATCACTAATCCTTGTCTCGGGTTTTGTGGTCACTTGAGATACGGATCGGAAAATGAAATTCATTTTCAGTAACTATTTACAGAAAAAAGTTTTAATTCAAAAACAATTTTCACATTCATTTCAATGGCTTTGAAGTGTCATTCAAAAGCAAACCTTTGAATAAAAGTTTTTAAAACTCATTTTATGTATTAATTTAGGGCTTATTTATCGTCAAATGACACAAACATTTATAAAACATAATAAAATATTAGCGTTGAATAGAGATTTGTGATTATATTGCCTTTAATTGCTTACAAAATACGAGACAAACACATGATTTGAAAAGTTGTAAACAATTTCCATGTGTTTGTGTTTGACTGCATATTATACACACCATTCATATACGATATGATTCACACAACCGGGGAGTTAGGGGTTATGGGTAACCTTATGTCATTTAGTCATATTTACCACGGTATTATCTACACACTTATACCAGATTAATTTCAATTAAATTATAAGTAATTTTAATTTTATTACAGTTACTAGTCTATAGTGGACAGATATTATAAATGAGCATCGCATATGTAAAGTATGTAGTACAGTAATACTATGTACTGTATACAGTATGATATTAAATGAATTGCCCCCGCTCTC